GATTCGAGGATCTGTTTGCCCTTTTCTTTTCTTTTTATCACTATGGTGTTTTTTGTAAGGCGGCAGAATGCTATGCCCCAATCTATAACATATTAGCTCAAATTGTCTACTGACACTCATTCAAATGGGCTTGTCGACCGTAAACTTGAAAAATTGACTCTCCGTGGCAACTCTTGGTGGCCCACTGCATTGTGAATCGCCCGAATTGTTTAGCCTTGGCGGAGGTTTGTGCTCTCTGAGTGCTTCAGTGTCTAGTTATTGTTACTGCTACTATAATGACGTGTGGAAAAACAATGGTGTTAAAGGAATTACCTGTATCTGGTGCAGCGAGACAAGCCCAAAAATCCACACGTTGTCGTGTAGCGCTGTGGGCAGTTGTACGAACAAACTGTGGCCCTGTTTAAAAAACAAAGCTGCATTAGGCCTACTGCTAGTATTAAGAGCAATGATAAGCAATTGATACTTCTCTACTTATTCAAAACTAAGATGGCGATTATGCTATGAAAACCGAATTTCTAAGAACCTGGAAACAATTCCAAAAGTTCAACTGTTGGGCATGGAATTAAATGTGATTATCATAAACATATAGCTACCAGACGTTTAAAAATAGCGGGAAAACGGGTATCCTACTTACCGTGCACGTGGCGAAATAGTGAGCAACTTGAAGACGATTAGGAGACAGCCGAGCTTTAACATGACGCCTTTCGATCTGATTCCTTTCTGGTAAATTAAAATCGTACAAACGGCTTTGATGTTACTTGATCGTCGTCAATTGGTGTTCAAAGCAGCATCATGCATTTAATGGCAGAGCGACTTTAGTTCGATGTGGCCCTGGAAGAATCTGTTTTCATCTTCTGCCTCAAATCACCCAGTTACAGAGGAATATTGAAGTCGAGCGTAGTATCGCCTCTCTCAAACAGCAAATGGGAGTGGAAGAATAATGGTGACGTTTGTCTTACATAAGAAGACACTATATTCTTTACATTCACCACATACCACTATAACGACTCCTGTGCTCGTTAACTTCAGTAAACACGGTCTGTGCTGTATTACATGTAAAAGACCATAGGCGTTTGTTTTCAAGGAGCCACAGACCATGGAGCAATGCATCCGGAAACAGTTTCATTCACCTTGGTGCTAGTAGCAATGCATCCCATAAAAGTGGAAATTGGCCGTCTTTTTTATGTCACGTACTGCAACCAAATATTTGCGCCTCACACCTTTCGCAAACTTGCGCTCAACCCGTGAAGTGCCGGTCACATAATAACAGTGCAAACTGACCCGGATATTGTACCTGGCCTTCGTTTGTAGCCATGGTAGCCTAGGATTGCGGTCAACAGTTTCCCTTTGGAAGGGAAATATTAACATGTTCATTAACAGGAAAACGCTGCTGGACTTCACACACTGGGGGTCACCTTTGTGTTCCTTCCTGATGACTACGGCAACTGAAAACAATAAATACTTGTCCATGCAGGCTGTATACTGACAAATCACCACATGTAAGGAGGAAAGTTTCCTTTTAGTTTTATGTGTCCTTAGTCCTATCACCTGCAATAAATACAACATGAACATCTGCTAATAAGTATGCTTGCAAAGAATAGGTTTATTATTTAAGTACAAAATCATTCGCCACTTCGATCATTTCAAACAAAATCTGGGTATAAACACAAGGAGACATCATACTTACAGATGTCCGGAAAAAATCTTTAATTTATTTTCGCGGCTGTAATTCATTCTTAACTCTGGTCTGAGATTTTGGAAACTTATTAACGATGACCTTAAACACTCTGTTTTTGAAATCCTGTAAGTCAAAGGGGCATTACAAAAGCTCATAAGCCTACTATCTGTTTCCTGGTGGCGTGCAACATTCCCCGCAAAATCTACTAACATTTTGTTGGTCTATTCTTTGCCTTGTTCCCTTGTTGTGCAATCATAAAAAAAACACCCAATAATCCGGGCTAACAAGATGTAATTAAGGATTTCCACGTAGCTGCATAATAATGGAAATAAAAATGGAAATACATGTGAATTCTTTACAATAAAGGCCTGTATTTTGATATCAGAAGTGAAAACTAGTATAAAATAGCTAAGGAGTTCATTTCATTGTAGTTTGTACTTTTGATACAAAATGGTTATTTAGACACAAAAAAAGATGTCTTTGCAGTAAAGTAAACATTATAAAAACATATTTCAATTTTATTTCAAATTGGCATCAATGTTTCATGAAAAACAAGGAGGAATGTCTACAAAGCTGACGAGAATTCCTCATGGAGGGCTGGATATATAACTACAGAAACTCTCGCACAGTCAATCAGACAAATGTTAGGTCATTATAATGTACTTTACAAACTGGTGACTTTCATTGAAAAAAAGGTCAATCCTCATGTCCACACTTCCCAGGATATTCTGGTGTATCATTAATTTTTACCCAGGAAATCCAAAGGATATCGGTGATAATCGCAGGAGGGCGCACTTTCACCCCAAAGCTGCATTCTGCATCTGTTGGACAATGCAACAACGATACTTGGTTGGTTCTTCTCCTAAGGACTTCCACAAGGGAGTATAACCATGGAGCTATAGCTAGCTCCATGTACAACTAGGAGGCCAGAAACACCGGGGAAAGCGGCGATAAGGGGTTCCGAACGTCAGGCCTCATACAACACTACGGGACCTCCAGCTTAACGTCCCATCCGAAGGACGAAGCAAATAATGGTTAAGTGCCTTGCTTTAGGGCACAAAGTGTCCGGGCCCGGGCTCACCAGAGCATGAGTCCGGTGCTCTTAGCCGCTAGGTACAGCCATATGACACTCCGCGAGTGTAAGAAACTGTTTTGGGGTTAAAACAAGGCTGTGCTTGCAGACCAGCCTCGTTTTAAGGCGGCTGTGATTACCCGGCGATGACTTTTCTTATTTGGGCAGGGTCATTTTGTCCGTGTAGTGGCACACTTTGGCCTTGGTCAAGGCGTTCGTGTTTATTCGTCCGTACGCGTAAACGATCGGCGGCACATCTTCGCTATACAGTGCATTAAAAATACAGCGCCAACAGTGACATCATGCGGCCACTATTTTATGCAAATCATTATGGATCCGATCGAACGATCCAAATGATTTGCATAAAATAGTGGCCGAGTGAGGTCGCTGTTCGCGCCGTATGTTTTATGCACTGCGTAGCGAGGATTAATGCCGTCGATCGTTGGCGCGCACGGACGAATAATGGCCAACGCCTTGACCAAGGCTATACAAAACCCAGCTAGCTGTAATCATGGAAAAATGCTGTAATTGAGGATGGTGAATTTGTCAAGCTATTGTGAATCCGGCCTTTTTGGGTGTAATCTTTAGGGTCGTGTGCATGTGCTGGTGTCAAAGGGGACCTCATTTTCCGCAGGGAAAACTTGATAGATCAGGCGCGGATGATGGGGGGGGGGGGGGGGGGGGGGGCGGGTCAAACCCCTCCCCTGCTCCGACACCAACAAATAATAATAATACTGAAAATAATAATTACCTAAATTATTGTATAATGTCCGCCTGTCCGCGACACTCTTACACAGAGTCATGTATAATAGCCAGCGGGGGTATTGCGATAGTGTGCATGATCGTCGGATTTGAACAGGCCCGATGGTACCAGCCCGTGCTCCCCCCCCCCCCCTCCAATAAAAAAGATTTTACGGAGGCCAAGTGTCCGGAGAAAAAAGTACAGTCGACTCTGCTTATAAAGAGCAAATTCTGAGGTCCCAAATCTCAGGTTCTCTTTGTATTTTTTTGGTTCGCTGTCCTTTTATAACAACATTCCTGTTATAAAGAGGTAATGTGGCTAGTCCCATTGACCTTTGTTTTAACGAGAGTCGACTGTATACACATTTCAGCACTGATTTGCTGATTAAAAAAAAAACTGACGTGCCTGACCTCCCCCCCCCCTGCAAAATTTCCTGGATCCGCCCCTCCCTGAATTTCTTTAATGAAACGAACTTTTGCTCTACTCTGGCCTCCTGGGGGAGGAGGGGGCACGCCTCGCGCGGGGATCGAGGGAAGGGGCGCCGGTGCGCGGGTTCGCCTCATTATATACGTGCCACAACTTTCCGCGCTTTGAACAGAATTAATTGTGCAATTATATGTCAGCGGGGCCATTATCCGGCTTCCTTTCCTCTATTACCATGGAAAAATTAATGCAGCAGTGAAATTTGCATACAATACCGTGGCGTTATTCAAATCAGTATCCTTGGGTGGTAATGGATTATTCTTTGGCCAAAAAAAAAGTCTCCGGTTTCTGGTATGGAGCTTGTCCAAAAAGTGGTGCGGCGACGCGGCTTTTTTTTTTACCTGACTGTTTTGCTTCAAATGTCGGCTGATGACTGCAAATGGTGCCCGACTAAAGTTAGTGCAAATATATGGGAGTCCAGAGAGGCCACATAAAAGCTTATTCTCGATCTCAACCCCATCCAAAAACATGTTAAAACTGTGCAGCAGCAGGATTCCAGTCAAACCAGTGAGTTTGGCGGTTTTGAGACATCATCTTTCATTGAAAAAAAAAACCTTTTTCATTTTGCCGACGCGCATGGCTACGGCGACGAGCGCGCATACCAGAAACCGGAGACTTTTTTTTGGCCTTTGATGTTGCTGCATAGTACATTTGTAGTAGCCACTGATGATCTCTATGATCGCAGCCCGCATCGCAGCGTTATTAATAAAAAAAAAAACCAGCCGCACAAACAAGAGCGCCAGGGTACGTAATGGACGATTCGAGCCTTACAAAATCAAAACCAACGTCAAGTTTAGCCTTCAAAATATCATAGGCTCATATTTTTTTTTGGGGGGGGGGGGGGGGGCGGGTAAGCCGGGTAGTGATGCAGTAATTGCAATGCACTTTTTCACGTATAGCTAAGGACTGGTACAAGTCTAAGGCTGTGACCTTGGCAAACTGCCCGGCCCGCCTTTGGTCAGGTGACGAGCACCACCGACTGTTGCGTGTAAACAGTGTGCGCGCGCAGCTTGTGTTATGACAAATCAGCTGATCGACGGATTTTGTTCGTGTGTATTGTTGACGTGACGCAGGAGGATAAGATTTCCAACGTTCAACTTCAGTCGTCTCTTTTGTGTCAGAACGAGCTGAGATCGTCTGCTGAATTGAAGCTTCGTGGAATTTTATTCTCTATGAAGAAGAGTTTTCGGTAAATTAAAAGATCGAGTCAAAACAAAAGGTGTGTGTTGTTTTTTGTTTATACGAAATTCTTAAATTGCTAACGTTGTAAATAATTTATCACAATGAATCAGCAGATATTGTCCCTGAAATATTGCGGGAAAGACTTTGCACACATATATTGCCGGTTTAGCACTGTGCCTCTGGTGTGGCATTAAATATGAGACGTTATAATGTGGTTGTGAGATGTTAATTGTTGTTATGTTTACGTTTTTAATTTTAACTCGAAGTCGAAGACAAAAACACGCGGCGGCCAACAATGCTGTCGAATGTGTAGTTTCATATTTACTAGATATATATTTAAAAGAGTGTAGTATCCATGTCCCGATGCCACCTCAGCAGTTGTGTACGAAGTCTATGGGGCCCGGTGAGTCAAGAACATTTTCAAAGTATTTTCTAACAAAATGTGAAATGTTTCTCATTCCCAGATTCATGTCTTTCCAACATTTTTGCAATGACTGATATATGATGAAAAAAGTGGCGTCAGGATGCAACATTTGTTCCATTATTTTTTCTAATAAGTGTGCGGTATGTTCTTCTTTAATTGCCAGAATTCCAGCTGATATAGCATCTTCACCCTACCAAAGCGTAGGGAAACGCACGAAACTCAACACATCTACTCAACATTCGGTCTTGCTATTTAAACGCCTTCATCATGCATTCCTGCTGCCATCGGAGGGTGTGGAGCACCAGCTGATATTTGCATTTCCAGTTTTGAACTTGGAAGAACGGACAAGAATGCGGCACTTTCAGGACTCCAGAGATCTGTGGAAACAACAGCTTGTGTGCAGGCTGCAAATGAACAAGACACAATTCCTAGCTAGACTACCTAATAACTACTTCATGAATATAGAAAAGACAATGGCCAGCCAAGTGATACTGAGAACTACAAGGGAGTTGATACTCCCATTGAATAATACACCCTATAATAAACACTTAGTTATAGCCTCCAGTAATTAGAGGGTATTTTGCATGCACATGCGTCATCGCGCAGCTGCTCTTGATTATGTAAATGGTGACGTTTGCATGAAACCTTTGATTAAACTGAATTATATTTTTGCTGTAATTAATTGGATGCTGTTTGATAAAAATGAACCAGAAAAACGCGGGGAAACTTGTGGAAGAAGGTGGAACTGGCAGCGTGAGGGATGTGGAAGTGTTGATCCTTGGTGCAGGCGCGGCGGGACTGGGTGCGGCCAGCACTTTTCTGAGTCAAGGTTTTGACCAGTTTTTGGTTATTGAAGGGGCAGACCACATCGGTGGGCGGGTTCATGATGTTGAGTTTGGCGGGATCCGTCTTGAGAAGGGGGCTAATTGGCTGCAGCCCATCGGAGGGCCCATGAAGAAGATTGCAGAGAAAGCTGATTTGGAATGCCAGAAAGTTGAAGCTGAGGTCAATCAACACAAGCTGATGGTCATGAGTGAGAATGGAGAAGTTATCCCGGAGTGGGAAGTGGAGCAAGTTATCACTGAAGTCTGTGACATTATGGTGGAGGCTGGTGACTTTGCAGCCAATAGTTTGAATAGTGAGCTGACTATGAGGGATTTCATGGCCGACAGGTATTGTTCTGATAGCTCATCAGATGCCCTCCGTAAGGCTGTCGAGTGGTATGTCTTTGATTTTGAGTATACAGTCCCACCAGAGCAAGCTTCACTTGATGTGGGGCACTGGGATCGTGTAGGTAGCTCAGGGTTTGTGATTGATCAGAGGGGCTTCAAGATCATCTTTGCTGATGTGGTCGCCCGCCTGGTTGAAAAGAGGCGCCTCCTGTTAAATAGAAAAGTTATCTCCATCGACCATTCGCAGATTGAGAAGGTCTGTGTGACATGTGCAGATGGCACAGTCTTTCGCGCAGATGCCGTGCTGCTCACATTCAGTCTTGGCGTGCTGCAGAGCGGTCTCGTAGAATTCACCCCACCGCTGCCACATTGGAAAACCACCGCCCTCAACCATACCCCCATGGGGGCTTTTACCAAGATCTTCCTCAAGTTTCCCCGTAAATTCTGGGATGACAGCGAGTGGATCATGCACGTGAGTGACCGGAGGGGTTACTACCCGGCCTTCATGAATATGGAGGCCCAGGGTCTGTTCCCCATTGGTACCAACATCCTGATTGCATTTGTAGTTGGGGCTGAAGCTCAACGGGTAGAGAACCAACCACTAGACACCACCCGAGAGGAGATTGTCACTGTCATGAGAGGCCTGTATGGGGAACAGCAAGTGCCATCTCCAACTGATATCATGCTGTCAGGTTGGCTGAATGACCCCCTCCAGATGGGGGCATTCTCCGCCCCTCTACCCGATGGTGCCCCAAGTAAAATTCTCCATCAGCTCCAAACTCCGGTTGGGAGAATCTTCTTCGGGGGTGAGGCTACAGATGACAAGTTTGCGGGGTTTGTGATCGGGGGAATGAGGAGTGGGGAGCGAGAGGCTAAGAAGATAATGCGGGGAGTGCTGAAGTGGGAGATTAAACGCAAAGGGTTTTTAGGCAAATGAAAGATGTTTGAAACAGATCATTGGATGAGTTGATGATGTCAACTAATAGTTGAGTGAAATTGGTGTTGGTTGTAATCAATAGTGTGAAAAACTAATTAAAAAATTCTAAAAAGAAATTGGCTATCTTCTTCTCTCCTCCCCGGTCCTCATTTCACAGGTCTCCAAACTTCCAATCATTACTTGCAAAATATAAGTAGTACATGTGCATGCTAGAAAAAATACCTGTGTATTTCAAATTGTGCTTTTCAAATCTACACCATTTCAGATTCCAATTCTTGTACAGAACTACATTCCATAGTAAGTTCTTTTTGCATTTGTAGCCCTTCTATATTTTGCAAGAAATGTTTGGGCAAGGATTATATTATAGTGTGTATGATTCAGTTGCTCTGTCCATCAAATTATTTTCAAATTTAGTGGTGTTAGTTACATTAATGATGTTGGCCAATTTAGATTAGACACAAAAACAAAAAAAACAAAAAAATATTAAAAGCATGAAATAAAAATTACAAAAAAAGACACATTCTTATCATAAAGGACCTAATTAAAGTATATTACCTAGTATATTAATGTTTGTTTTAAAGGTACATGTAAGGGTTTCTATGGAATATTAAGTTTTACTTTTAAAGGGAATATACATTTGCAATCATAAAAAAAACCTACCAATTGTTATGAAATACCTTGCTGGACTGTTAGTGAATGACAGTCTAAAGCATCCTGCAAAATCATGGCACCTGGTGTGCTGACATTTTTAAGAAAAGTGGTGTTTTTGAATCAATTTCCAGTGCTGGTCGGCCGACCAGCGTTGGAAACAACTGGCTTTTTTTCATATACTGCCTCCAGTTTACCATAATTATTTAGTTAGTCTGAATTGTGTTTGCAATCGATTACTATAAATTGCTCCATTAAACATGATTGTTTTTTTTTGGTTTTTCCAACATCTACAAACACAAAACTTCAAACAGGTCAGTGAAACAATATTTGCTATAAAACACTTACCCCCCCCCCCCCATCCATCCTTTTCTGAAAATTACAGCAAAAACAAATGTATATTCCCTTTAAGTTGTGAAGATTAAGCTTTACATACCAGAAAAGCAAGTATACAAAATTGTGCTACAAAGGACGATATAGGCACTTGCTCTCGTGCAGTCATTTTACAATGTATGACACGTAATAAAATGTAGATGCGTATTATAATGCACAATCATATTTACAATAATTAACCAATGGATCAATATGATACTGTTGTGTAGATGGTTCATTTTTCATTTGAATGTATATGATTTAAAATGTTTTTCGCAATTGGATTCTTAAAATGTCACATGTGGCCTTGCCTGATGCAGTTTGATGAAAGTTTTGTTTGCTTTGGATTTGAGTTGAATTTGGTCAGTGTGGCTGTTCCTGTATTGACCCCAAAAAAGATTTGATCAAAGATCCGTCAATTGTTGTGTTAACTTGACTTTATCATCACTTGTCAGCTTGACACATTCTGCAATCACTTTTTGTAATATAGCTTGTAGAGCAGACCAAGTTTGATATTATGAATGAATGTTTTAAAATATTTAAGAGGGAAGGATATATTATTAACCAGGCAGCTTCCCTTCTTTGCCTATTCTGTTATGTCCTTCCTTGTACTCTAGAAGAGACGCTTCGCACTTCATACAAAACTGTACATGTACATGTACAATGTACTTCTCTATTACCCTGCATAAAATGTAACTTTTTTTCTATCTGGTCTCTACAAATTTCTTTTAATTGACTATCCATATCTCAAAAAGTGAAAGTCCTCCTTCTCTTACTAATAATAGGCCTAGGCATATATCCTTCCTTATTCCAAGAAACTATCTATGTGTGGTCAGTTCTGGAATTCAATTGTGGTCAGATCAGTTCTGGAATCTACCACTTCCTGAGGATTTAATTTGTATTACTTTCCCACACTGGCTAGCTCCTCCTTAGTAGCCACAACCTGTTTGGCCACATAGTTGTGGTTAATTGTAATAATTGATACATGACACATTCAGAGATAAATGCCTGATGTGTGAATTAATAAGTGAATGCACACGCCCACACAAACACTCAAAAGCCTAGCTGCCTGGTTTGCAATGTGCAACCTATGAACATACACAGAAAGGCTGCTTTAATAGTATAGAATTGAAGCCTGAGTAAGGTCACCTTAGTACAAAAATAGTGTTTGGACTTTGTAGTAGTACGCCCATATGGTGCAAATTTTGAACTCGGATTATTGACTGTAGTAATTACATTTTTTTGTTTTAGATTGGTTGTGGTAATTAAATTTGTTTTTAATGAAACAACATAAACGTTGGTGTTTTGTGATACATTAAAGTGTATCACTCTTACGATTAGAGTATTAATTGATTTGTATAAAAATTTTCATCCACGTTTATTGTGGTAGGATAAATACATGTAGCTGCACCATAGATGAAAACAGCCTGTGAACAAAATTAATCGCACTTTGTTAAAAGGTTTGAAAAATAGAAAATTACAGTATTTTTTATGTATGCACATTCGTTGGCATATGGGCATGATTTGCCATTGATAATTTTTATTCAAGTCATCGAGGTAAACACTAATACATGTATATCAGCAATTTAAACAAAATTAACTTCCTTTTTGTTTTCAAATCATAATTTAAGAGGGCTCAAGAAACAGTGGAATATATTAACTGCAGTGTAAAAGATCATAAATTACCCCAGTAAAATCTGCAATTAAATTGTAGTTTTTAGGTTATACTCATTTCATATGAACAAAACCCTAGAATTTTGGTTTCATGTTATGGAATTTTATTCAACAATTGTCGGCTTTGTAAGAGGCTCAGAATAAAAAAAACCCTTAAACAAGCTATGCCTTGCTGCTCATATTTGAAGTTGAATGTTTTGAAATAAAGAGATAACAATATACATGCACCAAAGTGATTCTCCCGTGTGGCTTTTTTTATGGCTTTGTTTTTATAAAAATCAGTAAAATAAAAATTAACAGCTTGTTGTAAGGTCTATGGTACAAATGTAGCGGGTCTGCTGTCAATAACCTCTAGCTTAGTACCATGAGTGGATCTAGCAGTGATCAGGTTTAGGACTTTTTGAGTCTGATTCATAAATTATGATGAGCACTGTTAAAGCAATCATAATTTCTGAATACATGCAAGGTGGTTTCTATCCGTTAAAATGTCTATTTCGCCTTGGATAAGGCTGTAGTATAGACAAGAGAGATACACGTTTATTATTAACTGTGATGTAAATACAGCAAACACAAAAACCTGTGGCATGGATGCAGAACCAAAGAGAAATGGAAGGCCGCAGGAAATGAGCTGTTGTCAGCTCGAGATGACTGTACGGATTATAAATTACTTGGCCTTGGATTTCTCTCTACTTAAAGAGCTTTACCTCATTCAACATGATTAAAAACAACTATTATCCCCATTTTACGAGATTCACCTTCAAATATATTTTTACTTCTGAAGTGTTTTCGCCACCCCCCCCCCCCAGCCAGATTTATAAGGAGGCCTGCTGCTAAATCCACACCAAATTCAATTTAATTCAGAGTTAATGCGCACCAAGATAATGAACCATCCTACTATACAAATTGAGCAGTATCCCTCGAAAGTGTTTTTTCCCCCTTTTTCTCATGGTGTACTGGTGAAGCATATGTGAAAATTGGCCGATCCTAGGATAAGTGCACAAGTATGCACAGCTGATCTGTGTGATTCTTAATAGGTACAGGAGAGGACTGTTCTTAGTAGCCATATCCATACAAGATGTGTACAGGAGAGGACTGTTCTTAGTAGCCATATCCATACAAGATGTGTACAGGAGAGGACTGTTCTTAGTAGCCATATCCATACAAGATGTGTACAGGAGAGGACTGTTCTTAGTAGCCATATCCATACAAGATGTGTACAGGAGAGGACTGTTCTTAGTAGCCATATCCATACGAGAGGACTGTTCTTAGTAGCCATATCCATACAAGACGTGTCCTTTAAGTCTCAGTGAGTGCACAATGTCCCATGCTGTGATCGTCGTCTTGCCTTTATATTCCGAGTGAATCACTGCACAGTGTATGACCTCCTCCAGCCAGTGTCTCAGCCCTTCTCTTGCTTCATGGTACACCAGGCCTGAGATCCGTCCAACCCCTCCCCGACGAGCCAAGCGGCGGATGGCGGGGCAGCCAAGAGGCAGGGGAATGAATATCAGCTTACGATGACGCTTGATGCCCCCTTTGCCTATACCTTTTGCACCCTTGCCGAGCCCACTCATTGCCTTCTATTCTCTGTACAAAATGTATCTCTCTTTCTCTATCGGTATCTTTGCATTCAATTCAGTTGTTTCAGTTGTTGGCAGATGAAAGAGATACATGTGTAAATGCCTTAGGCTCTCCAAAATAACAAACAGAAAAACTGAGCTTAAATGTTGTCAACTGTGCAGAGGTTTACAAGCATTCTTGATCCTATGGTTCCAAACTTAAACAGAACCTCAACAAGTCTAGGGTTGTTTACCAATTCATCCACAATACATTTGCAGCTGCAGAATTTCACTGGTACATTTCCAGCACAGTAGTTGCATTTGCCAACGGTTTGAAAAGGCCTTGAGTCTTGCGTAAAGCCAATGTTGTTAGGCAATTGGCGATAACATGCTATTTATAGCTGTATCCAAACATCCCTTACATCCGTCACTGATTGTGCAACAATACACCTGCAAACACGTACATGTACGTATCTATGTACTCAGTGCATATCGCCTATACACAACAGGTTAAAGGTCACCACTTTGATGATAGTTTATGATGATGTATAGTTTATGATGAAAAATGCACACACACTGTAGTAGAACTTTCCAAATAACGATTAATTAAAACAATTCCCACTGTTTGAACAGTCACAGACAGTCCAAAATTTCACCCACTTCCCCTGCCATGCCTTTTACACAGGCTAGTCACCAACAATCAGATCATATTTCAAGCAAATTCAGTCAACAGACAAAGTAGGCAACTGGGGTTGAAAATAATTCAAGGACAAAGTGCAAAAGGAAACTACAGGTGACTAAGTACAGCTTTTGTACGCAAGGCTAGTATCCTGTCTGCACTAATTCATCAACATGTACAGACCTCCAGCACAACAATGATTGGAATTGTGTGGCCACACAAAGGTTGACACATCAAGTTGTACCATTTGCAGGTGAATAAATTGACTCTTTGTGAATGTGGAGAAATGTCAACAACTAAAGAACTGAAATGTAAAAAAAAAATGGTTTCAAATCAAAGAAGATGAGTGAAACAAAAGAAACCAAAATAAAAGGAAATCATGAACAGTTTTGGACTTACTACTTGTCTTTTCTCATTTATTACCAAATGGTTTAAATAAAAACCCAAAACAAAACTTTTAAATATTTACATTAACACTGTGTGCTCTACACAGTTGAAAAAAATCATCAACTCAAGGAGAGAAAGGAGTAACAAAGTTGGGCCAGACTCGGCCCTGATAGAAAACTGTGCTGCATAACTAACGGACATCTACAAAACACCCAGCAACTCTTATGACTTCTGTGTACATATATTTACATAAACAATTACCGGTAATTTCCAAGCGTGATTCAATGCATTCCACATTTATACAACCTGGTTCTTGCATGACAGATACCTAAAGGCCAAATCTGACTGGCATGCCACAAAG